CCGTGCATACAACTGAACTTACCTGCCTCTCCAGTGGTGGGGAGGGGAGGACAACCTGCCAGTGGGTGGAGTGGTCCCTGGGCTGCAGGGAGGACTGGTGCTTCCCTCCATGGCAGTGGGAGCCCCCCACTCCAGGTGGCACCTGCCCACAGGCACCTGGCTCCGGTGGTCCTGGGAGGCACTGCAGCCACAGAGGGAAGCACCGGGCCCCTGCACAGCTCAGTTAGGCAGGCTCCAGGGAAAAAAGGCAGAGCCTGCCTTCCCAAGCTGCTGCCTGCATGCGCTTCCTGCAGAGCCCCTGAGCTGCACGGAGCCTGGTGCTTCACTCCACAACTGTAGGGCAGCAAACTAAAAGCTCCAAGTCATTTAAGGTGCATTAGCAGCTGGATTTACTGCATAATACGCCGCCAAAGCATGCAAACACCAACACTTAGTGGTGCAGAATCATTTAATCCACTTTAAAGTGTCGTGCACACGTGCCCCTCATTTCATCTACATACAGCCATTTTCTCTGTGGAGCAGTCAGACAATAGCTAAACACATATTAGTTCATATGATCTTGATGTACACCTTGCACAAGTTGTGACTTTGCTACTATAAGAGTACATTTAACGTGTGTTATTGCTTGAGTGCACGGTTGCTTGCACCTTTGTTGAGTATAGGCTGTAATTAATTGATGATTTGTCTCATCAATTCCAGCATGGAGTTATAGGATACCACCAAGGTTGCAGGGGGGCTTATTTTTATATTGTAGGACGTTGCTGAGCGGGATTTGGGGGAGGTCTTTCAAAGATATGGTCCATTTCTCCACTGGAGTGTCCCTGTTATAAAAAAGGTAGATTTTAGGCTGGCCAGGTCAGCATCACAAGCATCCTCTGCAAACCAGATGCAGTGGTATATCTGGGGGCCTGACTGTAGACATCTGGGTTAATTATGAAATGATGGTGCTCATTGACCAATCTATATTCTCAGCATTCTCATTACACCAAGTCTTCATGTTTCCAGATTGGTGAACCCAGTGAGTTTAAACAAACTTTAGAGAGAGCATTCTAGCCATCCTCATCGAAGTTTTATCAGTAATATTTAGCTGCCTCTCCACTGCTTTACATAATCTATTGTTTTACAGTATCATTCGTTGACAGGGAGCTAAGAGGTTACTTGTCTTGAGGTCTTTTAGGAGGTTTAATAGAGATGTTGAAGTTTGTGCGAGTGAGACAGTGGTCTTTCCATCACTCAAGTCCTCGTATGGACTTAATGATCCTGACACAATTAATATCTCTTTACCTGACAAGGAGGTGATTAATCCATACCTGCACCATTGTTTGAGAAAGGGTGCATCTAAGTTTGGGGGATAACAGTGCAGGGGGGACTGAGAGGTAAGAGGTGGTGTTTGTAATATGATTGTATCTCATATACTTCCTGAGGAATAGTAGGCTACTGCCATTAGCCAATAATAACCAATAGGTTTGATAGTCTAATCCAGAACAGGCATTGAAATAACCCAGGATAGTATGCAATTAAAAGTAAAACCCATTAAAATTGTGTCTGTGTCAATAAAACTGTATACAAGCACAAACTTTGCTTTGCTTCAGGAAAGTATCAGATATTAATTACAGATCTTTGCATGCACATACACATTCGCTGAAATCATGTATTAAGCAAGTGGCCAAATCCAGAAAAAAACCCACATAGAATTACAGGCACATTAGAATCATAGAGATGGATTCGGCCTCAGGCTTTTTGACTGTCTGTACTTAGCCATAAAGTAATTAGATCAGATCAATATTATTATGTTGTTCAAATATATTTTCAATGAAAAATTATTTTTCAACAAATACAAAAATGTTCACAAAAAGTACTCATTTTGACCAAAATATTCTGGTTCTTAATTTGTAAAATTTCAGGTTTAAGAGAAGTTATCAGTATTTGAAAACTGCAATTCAGAAATAAAGTTCTTAAAACTTGTTCTATTATTGTTATTCCCTTAATATTGAAAAAAGTGGGAAAAGTATGAGAAAAATTTGGGGGGGTCTACCTTTTTTTTTTAAATATTTTCAATGAAAAATTACTGACACTTTTCAACCAACTCTAAACGTACTAGTTAAGTATGGTCTCTAATGATGGAGTATCAGGCCAGTTACTGCTGCTTACTCACCTACAGATGTTTAGGTCCTAACATCAGTGAACTTTAATTTACAATTAGTTTTAGCAGAGGTACTTGCTTTTGAAGCTAGATACACAGTGTCTCGTGTAACACAGCTAGCAACTGTGGGCATTGATACACATAAGGGAGCTCTGCTCTGATGCGTGCTAATTAACATGTGTCAGAGCAGACTTGATTAAATGAGTCTGCTGTGAGTCTGCTGGAGTGTACTAATTAGTGTGCTCCAGCAGCCTCTGTGTCATGCATTCAGTGTCCCCGCATATCAACATGGCGTTGGGAGCGCTTCAACTGAAGCTTGTCGAACAAGCTTTAGTTAAAGTGCTACACCACCATTTTGAAGCGCGGGATGCTGAATACATGTGACGCTGTGGGTGCTTTAATTGGAGCAGCTCTCAGAGCCACTCGAATTAAAGCACTCCCACCCCAGAGTACATGTATCGATGCCCTGTGGTATCCTTCCCCCCCCCACACACACAAATCTAGAAGGAAACTTAATCCAAAAGAACATGGGATAATTTTTGTATACATCTTAGGGTGTGGAAGTTATACATGCAACTCTCAAAATTGTTAAGGGACTCATGGCTGAATTCCTCAAACTGTTCACAATGTTGCTGCTGCAATTTTCTAAAATGTTATCTCCACATATAGAATCCAGAATACGGCTTCATTTTGCCCTCTTTTGGCATGAAATACTAGCCATATGGTCACTGAATATCTGCTTTGACCTTGATCTCAAAATATGAGCTTTTAGGACAACCTAAAAGAGAACTCTTTCCCTGCATTTCAAAGAGTGATGTTCCACAGGTGTATCACAGGCAAATCTGTTGGAAGTGCATCAGTCTTATGCATACCCAACCTGTGTTTTTTGAAGGTGCTGTCCTCTAGAGAATATTCTCTCTATCTGATTGGAGGTGAAGAACTGGGTGAGCAAAATCCCAGATCATAAGTTATATATGAAGTGTATTTATTTCATTTTAGAAGTAAAAACGTTAGCTAATTTCACTGTCACTAACTGGAAAACACTGTTACTATTGTTCTGTTAGTGTTATCTGTTGGATATAAAGTCAATTTGTTGACCTGGGCACAGTGCAAAGCTCATCCATTTAATGGAGTTTTGGTGAACGACTGAGACAATTAAAAGTAGTGTTAGTAAAGAGTAAGTAAACAAATGTGATGAGCTGGTTCTACGCCTGTGTATTGATCATGTGGCTGATGATCAAATAAGGTTTGGTAGGAGGAGAGGAAGAAATGCAAGAGCTGCTCCTCTCCTCTCTTCTTTGTTTACATCTCTTTTATGCTTTTATCTGGGCATGCGTATCATTCATACCTAGAGCTCTGGCTGGCTACCTTCTAGTATGGCACTTGTCAGACCAAACTGCAGGATGATAAACATGACTGAGCATAATGATCCCAAAGGAGATTCTAATAGAAGAACGTGCTTGATCACTGGAAATCCCTCTTATCGTTGTTCAAGGGGGCTCCTGATAACTGATCCCAAATAACTTGAGACCAAAAATGGCATCAAATAGTGCTTCCAAAGAAGGTGGTGTATGTGTCATGTCTGTAGCTGGAGATGGCCATTAAGAAGGATTAATTTGGTGCAAAACACTTGACTAAATGGATTGGTTATAAAATATGGTGTCTTTCATCTTGAGATGAATGGTTCTAATGCAGAACAGCTTAGTTACTGACTGTGCCATCTGTTGATGTTGTGTGGCTTTTTTCAGTGAATCAGTTTTTTCCACAAACATCCTTGTGGGCAGAGTCACATTACAATAGGCAGTTTCACCATATGGAAAAGATGATGTCATCAGCGTGGTTTCTGCTGGACAGGGTAACTTAGAGTATGTCAGCAGGGAAGTATGGGGAGGTGCCTACTACTGCAGCTGCCCATGCTATTACTTGCTATAGATAAATAAAATACTTCATGTATCTAATGTTGGGAATTTGGCTCCACCAGTGACACCACTCACTCACCAGGGGCATGGGTCAGAAGGAGGGAGCCATACACTGAAAAAATCCACAACAAGGAACAAGCACAGAAAATGAAAACCCATCATGTTGGGGCAGGATGAGAACACTAATAATCCTGGGATTTTACAAGTGTTGCTGTACTCTAACTGTCCTTTCCCCTGTTTTTTACTTCTCAATCACAAGATGCTAGGCAAAATTTTTAAAGGAAACCAGTGATTTTGGCTGCCTTGGTGTTTGGGTGGCCAAATCAAGGTGCTTTAAATTCTATTTTCAACAAGGACTAAAAACAGCATGTCCTGGATTTCAGGGGCTTCTGCACTTCTTCCACCCCACTCCACATGTAAGGGTTGAACAGATAGTTTGTACCTCAGGGTCAAGAAGCCATCTCCATATCTTGAGCTGTTTTAGGGACTAGAATAGCCCAATTACAACAAGCTCTGCAGGATGCCTAAAGGTTGGCAGCACAGCCTGGAATCTGCTTGCTGTGGACCTCTCCCAATTCACCCCTTTTAGCCCACACTGGAGCTGGCAATAACCCCAGTGAGACGGCTTGCAAGAAGGTCTTTGGAAAGTAGTCTCGCAGCTAACTACTTTAGTGTTTGAAATGGGGGAATCCTTTCAGAGCAAGGGCTTTGACAACCCTATTGGAGTCTTCTGGCCCCTTATTTATTTCTTATCACGAACTTGTCTGCTGTAACTGCAGTCTCTTTACATAACTTACACAGACCTGCCAAAAGACAGGGCACTAATGTGTAAAAAATCATGATCGTTTGAAAAATTAAAGCCTGAACATACAGCCATATCATTTTCTGGGTGCATCTTTCTGCCTTTTATTTTAATCTCTTTCTCTCTTTTTTTCAAGGTGTTCTATTGATCTTGGCACTGACAGAAGAACTGGTGTTTGGTGTTCAGGTAGTGTCTCCCAGTATATCATCATCTCCAGGTCTCCTGATGGACACTACCACTATGACAGCTATGGGGACAACACCTCAACACACAGACCTTCATACAAGAGAGCCCATTCCTACATCTGCTCATTCAATTCCTCATTCCATCAACCCAATGGAGAACCCTACCCCTTCCATTGGCCAAAATCTAGCAACCAGCAGCCATCATGGTGGCAAAAAGGAAACATACCATTTATATAACCAGAGTGCTTTGTATTCAGGACAGACTCGCCCTAAGGGGAAAGTATTTCAGATTTTCAAAGGCAACTTTACAGAATCTTCAGAGCCTTACCTAAAGACAGCACTGCATTCTCCCTCCCCTACTTTGAGAAGCCCATTCACAAACCACCGATTTCAGTCTCAGACAGCAACCTTCAGTGATCCCAAAAGCACTGAGCTGGCAACTACTACAAACTTAGACTCTTCTCTCCACAATGACACTTTGGAAGGCCTTAATAAAGCAGAGCAAGGGAATGGAACACAGCTAGTAATGCAGAAAACAAATTTCAGTACCCCAACAGTGAGACCATTGCCTGATCCTGAAACAGTGTCAGTGCCTTTTAAACCCACGTACTATGACATATGGGATATCCTGAGGAAAAATAACTCTTGGGTAACCTTGAATGCAGGTACAAATGTACCTTTATTCACCAGTCCCGGAACTGAACCAGCAGCAGCATCGGGTCAGTCTGTTCAGGCTGGTATTGATGTCAGTGTTTCATCACCTGCAATGGGAAACCCTAAAGGAACTTCTACAACACAGCAGGCCACGATTAATTCAACTGTATTCATTGGCGTTGTCTCCACAGCCCCTACCACAAGATTGTCCAGTTCCATATCAACCGCGGGCTCCACAGCAACAGGAAACTTCCTGAACAGATTGGTGCCTGCTGGAACATGGAAGCCTGGTGTGCCAGGCAATATTTCTCATGTCACTGAGGGAGATAAACCCCAGCACAGAGCAACCATTTGTCTTAGCAAGATGGACATTGCCTGGATCATTCTGGCTATCAGTGTACCTATATCCTCATGTTGTAAGTTAATTTCTTCTTGTTTTTCTTTTTCTTCCCTTGAAACACAAAATATGTTTCAGCTTGCTGATTCAAGTACTATGGGGAGAACTTAGCATTTGCAGAACTGTGTAACAAATTCCTATGAGCTAGATGAGAAACCATTATTAAATAACTAACATAACATTCACTGACCTAAGAAACGAGACCTAGAATTCTGGATTTTCAGCTCCTAAACAAAGGTCTCTAGGTCTTAAGTTAGGCTTTCTTTTTTTGGTGTGTTATCCTCTGTAGGCTATCCCGTGAAGTTACTCAGGCACTCATGCTAAATCTCTACATTTCTACAGAGCAGTGTTACTTCAAAATGCCTAAAATAGGGATCAATAGTTACACAAGACCAGAGTCTGGGAATTGTTTTATTCAGTCCTGGACCAACCCTTAAATTCTGCCTGATTGAAAGGTTAATGATAAATTAAGGACTACCATCTGAAGCACCAGCTTTCCAACGGTAGAGAGTAGGAATCACAGGCAGTTTGCAAACCTAGTAGACTTAACCATCACATTATTCTGATTGCTCTCTTACATTTTCCTCCACCTGTATTTTCACATGAATGTTTTCTAGACAGCAGTAGTTAAAGCTAAATGTAAAAAATGTTTTGTATTGTTTAAGACAATCCACACTACAGGTACAACCTGTATCCATAACCAGTGTGTGACTGACTTAGAGTAAATATGGTTGAATTCTGTACTCCTAATTCTTTTTTCATGGAGCAGCTATGTGTGAAAAAAAAAAATTGTGTGTCCATTGCCTGTGTTCATATTGGTGTATTCTGGAACTAGTTAATGCCTCAAGTAGAGTTAGAAAGCAGCAGCATGCAAGATGAACTCTGAGGTATCCCACTGCATGAAACAGGTGAGATGAAAGATGATTCACCAAAATGGTTATGCAGGCCCAGTTACGTGCAACTACTTACAGTGCAATAAGCAGAAGGTTACCAGAACATGTGCATTTGTTAGCAGAGGATACTCGACTTAAGTGAAACACTTGTTAGCAATAATTACTAATTGTCAGTTCTGTTCTGTGTGGTCACAAGTAGGGATCCTGCTTTTCTCTGATTAACGCCCCCTCATTTTCAGATTTAAAAAGTAACCTAAAATCCACATTTTTCCATGATTAAAATGAAACATCACTAATTTATAGATTAGTGGATATAGATATACATTAGTGGTGTTTCATTTTAATCATGGAAAAATGTGGATTTTGGGTTACATTTTTTAATCTGAAAATTGGGGATTTTTTTTTATCATAGAAAACCAGGATCCCTGGTCACAAGTTACATTTAGATCCCATCATTTCACTAATTATAAACATGGTAAAAACTACTATTGTAAACAAGATCTAACATGATTTTAGGGTTAATATTTTGCAACCGATAAAGCTAGAAATACTTCTGTGGTCTGGACCAAAAAATATTTCCAAGCCACTGTTTTGGAACAATAATGAAAAAGAAAGTAATTTTAAAAAACCTTGATCATGATGCATGTGAATGCTCAAGGTAAGTGCAATATACAGGGTCTTCATAAAGTCCTTGTGCACTTTTAAACTTTAATAATTTAGATTGTAGGTATGATAGAAACAATCTATAAATGGCATTTAAAAGCAAATTTATTAAAGTTTTAGGACAACTAGAGTACACAACACTAGACTTCAATATAACCACCATCCATCATGATACGGTGCTCAGTCTGATTTTCCAACTCCTTGAAAACATTTCCCAGGTGCTCTTGAGTTACTGCACTAATTGCATTGGTGATTCTAGCCCTGAGTTCCACCAAAGAACATGGTTTTGACAAGTAAACTACACTTTTAACTTGTCCCCATAAAAAGAAGTCCAACGGCGACAGGTCATGTGAACGAGGCGGCCAAGCAATTGGTCCACCTCTGCCTATCCACTTTTCTGGGAAAACATCATTTAGGAACTGTCGTACATTCAGAGAATAGTGGCACAGAGAATAATGTTTTTATTACTTATGAAATCTAGCATTGTGTACTCTAGTTGTCCTAAAACTTTAATAAATTTGCTTTTAAATGCTATTTACAGATTGTTTTTATCATACCTACAACCTAAGTTATTAAAGTTTAAAAATGCACAAGGACTTTATGAAGACCCTGAATAACAGCATAAACAATAATAATATAAAGAGGCTTTTTTTTTTTTTGGAACACACCTCATTTACAATCAAGTGGTTGTGGGTAATTGGGTTTTTTTCGTATTTTGCTTCATGTACTATAATACAATGTGTTTATGTGAGTATGTTTTTACAAAGTCTCAAGTACTCTGAATCTGGCCAAAGTTCTTATTGGTAGTGTAGAACTTTCAAATGCAGACAAATTATTCAGATTTCTAAGTACTGTTTTCTAAAGCTACTTGCCAATATTTTAAAAGGGTTTTAGTAGGAATTTGAGTCCCGAATCTCTTCAAAATTCGTAGGCATTAAGGTCGCATGCACATGAGCAGGAATGTGAAGTTTGTAGCTCCTCAAGGCCTTTTGAGATGCCACAAAACACACACGGTGCATGTTAATCTGTTTGCCGCACTGCATATTTGCAGCATGGCAGCAAAATTAAATACTGGAAAATCCTGGTATCTAAAAAAAAAAAAAAAAAGCAGCAGCAGCGGGGTGGTGCATGTGTCTGTGGTATGCACTGCCTGAAATCAGAGCCTGGCTGGCCAGAGCCATGCTTCAAGCTGCCGGCCAGGCTCCACATGCCCGGATCACCACTGCTGCAGCCCTGGGAGGCCCCCAGGATCCCAGATGAGGCTGCTGGACCAGCCCAAGTGCTGGCCCCAGCCTCCCCTTCCCCACCTGGGGCAATTTGCTGTGCACCAGAATGCGCATGCAGCGGCATGCCCAGGGACATGTAGCAGCAGCACAAATATGTGCCACTGCTATTTGTCCCCAGGGAAACACATGTGAATGCTTGTGGAATGCACCCTAAAAGCCTAAGTTCCATTGTCTTTCAGTGAGATGTCTCTGAAGGCCCAGATCCCCAAAGGCATTTGGACACTGAAATTAATGGGAAATATTTTTGAGGATCTGGGCCTAAGTGTTAAAGAGACTGTCTACACGCAGAAGCTGTACTGTTTTAAATGTGCTGGCATAAGTAAAAATGTACAGCCCACCTCCCCCTGAGGGAATGGAGCTATATTGATTTAAAATATACTTATCTGGAAGAGCTTTTTCCCAATAGGGGAACAGAAATAAATAAGTTAGTTTTAATACACCTTCACCCTGGTGTAACTGTGTTCACGCTAATGATTAAAAAAAAAGAATGAAAACAGCCTGCTTTCTACTAAGTTATATTGGCCCAAAACTGTATATAGACAAGGCTTAAGCTATTTTTTTTAAAAAGGGACTTGGACTTCTGATTTATGTAGGTGCTTTGAAAATTTACATAGAAAGTTTTTACCATCCGATAGCCCGTGTGAAATAAGTTCCTTCAAGCACATTTTCTAGTGAACAGATGTCTCTTCATAAATCTCATACTTCAATTAGCCCACTTATTTTCATTATCGGATGAAAATCAAGAGGGTATAAGGACTGAAATGTTCTTTCACAGAGACATGGCATCCCCAGGTCAGAGATGAGACACCTGGCTAGCACGGTGTGATGAATTTTGCCCAAGTTGCACCTGCTGTACAGATAATTAGAGGACTTCAATTGCCAGCATTGTTGATCTGGCAGCAAATTCACTTTACACTCTTTTGAAAGGTCAGGCATGTATACATTAGCTGTGTATTGTGGCTAAAGCAATTATCGGAATTACAGCTGTCCCATACATCTGTTGGTTGGAGATTCAGACATCTTTTGCTTTTTTTGTTTCCCTGAAGATTAACCCCCCAGCACATATAGGCACCACTGCGTCATACTCACTGGATATAAGTGGTTCAGCACAGAACAGTTAGCCAACCAGCAGTTCTGGGACCTAAGTCTTCCTGTGTTAGGGATACAATATGAACATCATCATAATACATTCGCTCACCAGTGCTGATGTTGTACACTGCTCGTATACCATCGTGTTCTCCCGAGTAGCAGTACCAGGTACAACGAGCATGCTTGCCCTAGAGTGCTATTTTCCTTGTCAAAATCAAGTGAAAGGAATAACATAGTTTCTTTGTTGGACAGGCCTGTTGTAGCTCCCTTGTGCCATTTTACAACATAGGAACACTTTGTCTACTGAACTTCTGCCACATGCCCATGTATCTTCAGATGCAGCCGATTTGAACAGCTGGTTCTGGAGCTACAAAAAAACATAATGAAGTGTGTTATGTAGCAAGAAAACTGCTGCCACCTGCAGGACATAGGGTAATTTCAGATAAAGTTATAAAACCCTTTATTCCAATTTTAAGGCATTGCCAACCATAGATGAAAGTTTGTTGTTATTCCTAATTTTGATAAAAGTCAAATGCCAGCATTTAATGTTAAGCTAGCACCAAAGTGCAAATTTTATCACAGTTTGCCATAGATTTTCTGAAGGTATCTTTAAGAGTTACGGTTGCAATGAAAAGATTTCCAGCTGTGCACTGGGGACTAAACCATCTCCTCTTTAGGGTGAGGTGGGTTGGGAAATTCTGGACTCAACTCCTCCTCAACTGTGAGGTGTTAAAAACATTAGGTTCCTAAGGGAGGTATGAGCAATTAAGAGGATAGTTGTGGGGAGGGCGGGTGCAGTTCTGTCATAGGAAGAGGGAGGATACTTGGCCATGAGAAGCAGAATCCTTGT